TCCTTTTTTTAATTTTATTTTTTTTATTTCTCCCACAAATTTGTTTGGTTTGTTGATCTTAATATTTTAATCTAATATGTATGAATAAATTCCAGCTGCGCTCACTTCCAGAGTTTAGTTTTTTCACTGGCAGGGAGATAACTACAGGAGGAGATTATTCATAGAGGATGTGTGTTTAAACCGTTCTGGTTATCGCCGCTGCCTATCTTGTATTCACATAAGGTTCCTATCTCAGAGACATCCTTTGGTAAATGCCTTGAATCACATGCCTCCTTTAACTTGGCAACCCCTTTAGGAGGAACAGGCAAGTGCATTAAACGGAGATGCCGCGCCATTCTCAGAAAAATGCAAATTGGGAAGTTGTTAGTTATTTGATGTTGCTGCTCGATCCCCCCCGCCCCCGAAACATCCCTCCACTCCAGTGTTGGTGGTTGAATCGCATGCAGTCCTGGGGACAGGCAGGGCTGTTTATATGCAGGCCTGGAGCAGCAAAGACAGCGCAGAGACAGATGCATGTCAGAGATAGCAGATCCCATCGCAGGCAGATGCCTCTTATCACAGGCCTGTTTGCATAATTAGGCCTTTTGATATTCACCCCCTCTGACTGACAAAAAGTATAATTGCAGTATCAAGTACGACAAAAGGTAGGCACAAAATAAACAAGTCAACATAAATAGGGAGAAAAGATGCGGTGTTATTTTTGTCCTGTGGGAAAAAAAGAGGGAGGAAAAAACACAATTTTTAACTAAATCTGCTGTCAGTCACAGTCAACTGGTGTGACTCGGTGCTCAGAGGCTGGTCCTGTGAATGCCTGCAAAACACAGAGCGTGAGGCCTGATTGTAATTATGCTGGAACTAATATGCTTTTCAAAATGAGCCATTATGAGCTAATGCTGCACTGCCAAAGCCCTGTCTGTTTTTGTCCCTCTGTCTTGGATAGTTTGCAAAGGTATGGCTGATATTGAGGCCATGGGTTATGATATCAGAGACAGTCTGCTTCACTTTGGGCTTATTCACGTTTGTCAGAGATGAGGGATAAAGTACCTGCACTGCTGCTGCTGCAAAAGCACGATTTTCTCTTCGTGTTTCTGTCGGTAAAGTTTTTATTTTTTGTTGGAATTGACTCTTATTGCTGCTGCTGCACCGTTTTAGCTCATTTGTTTAGATTTTAGCAAACCTATTTTTAGAGTAAAGCTTTTTTTTCTCCTAAATTAAAGAAGAAGAATGCAGTGTTAAAAGCAGATAGAACACCTTTTTGCTCATGATATTGATTGTTAAGCTCTGACTAACTAATCAGATGCTCACATTTATCCAGCGGCCTCGTGAAGTTAGTCGGTGTTGTACCGTAAACCTGCAGCCCACTCGGTTAATTGCCGGTATGAGTGGACAGCTGTCTGTTTAATCAGCATTACCTCACCGTCTCCGGGGTGAAGGTGGGGGACTTGGAGGGAGAAGATGGAGAAGACGGGGAGTCCTGGAGGAGTAGGCGGGGGAGGAGGGTCGGTCGGCGTGAGGCGGGGTTTTGGAGGCAGCAGGGTGATGAGGATCCCATCTGCCTGTAGTCTGTCTGCAGGGTCAGCAGAGGAGCATCAGGGGAGCGAGAGCAGGCTTTAAACCTCACCGTAACCCCACCACTATTAACTAGCAGCTCCAGTCCTTCAGGAGAGAGAGCTGCGCTTTATCTAAAAGGTCTGGTCAGAATTAGAGCATCATTAAAGCCCAGTGGCAGCGGGGCGAGGGGAGGCGGTTCAACACATCTGAGGGCTTCGTGTGGAATCCCCCACATTAATTAAACACAGTTAACCGGCTGCTCTCGTCATTAATCGTTTTCTCTCAGTTTACGTAATAAAACCAGAGTTCTGCAGCAGGATCACGCCCCGGTTAGACATGTCTGTGTTTGTTTGTGAGGTTCCTGAACAGCTCCTGAAATAGTCCCGTTACTGAATCTGATGAAGAATTAGAAGCACTAATGTCACCTTTTGCTGCTAATTCTAAACCATAAATCTGACAATTTAATGCACAAAGGAAATAGAGAAGTAAAAGCTTTTACATCTGAAAAACATTTTGAGTTAATTGTTATTTAATTAATCAAGAAACGGCAACAAAAAAGTGTTATTTTCATTAAAAAAAAAAAAAAAAAAAACTGTTTCTTTGCAAACTTTAAATAGGAGGTGTAAAGCTGTAGCTGAACTGACATTCGACTGTTTTGCTTCACTCCCTGCGAGTACATCAGTTCAATAGACCGGATTCTGGTCCACCGTGTGGACTAGAAGGACTGGAACGTATCGTAGTGGATTTCGGATGCAGCTCTTATTTTTGTGGGGACAGATTAGCTTCCTGGTGCTAAAGTGATCAGTGAATTTCCTGATGATTAATTATCAGAGCAGCTGTATTATTGGTCAGTAATTGATTTTCCTGCCTTGGATCTTTACACTCTTCTGTGCTGAACTATATTCCTACAACTCTGCAGTACTCATAATGAACAAAGTGCTGTTTTTAATGGTAGCCGAGCGTCTACTTTGAGTGTAAACCTGATTAATTCCTATTTAAATTGGGCGCAGTTTTAAATCAATATGGAGGTAAAAGCTCAGAGGGCCCCTGGAGGAGAGTACACGGCTCTAATCGTGCCCACTGGATGGCACATAATTAGATTCTAATTGGACGATAAGTAATGAGACAAGGCATGAGTGGTTTATCAATACCCCATGAACCTCTGAATGGAAATTACAGCGGCCGTATTATACAGCGGTCTAATCAGAACGTACCTTTTTTGTGCCGAGCAGACCATTAAGGAATTGACCTTGACAGCCCTGCAGGGATTTGGTTCAGTCTTATTTTGTCTTCGGCTGCTCACGCTGGCAAATAAGTGGAGGGAAAAAACAGACATGAAATTTAGATTTTAAAGTGCTTTGGTGTCGAGAGCAGCCTGAGAAGTGGTCGCTGGTGTTTACTGACGTGTCTTCAGAGCGTCTCTCAGACTCTAGATCAAAACGGAGAGCAGCCATGTGCTTTCACATATTTTCTGTCCTCCACTCAGCCGATATAGTCAGCATATAGATGAGTTTCACGTCCAGCCCCAATCCCAGCCGGCCCGTGCAGCGTGTGCCATGTTCCATTTTGCCTTACTCATTACAGGCATGGCGGCTGACCTTGTGCTGCTGGTTCATGTACAAGAGCAGATGTGTTTCCTCTGCGGGGCTTAATGACGAGCAGCCATTGTCTGCTGAGGTTTATCAGTCATTAGCCTGGTAGCATGCTAAATGTGACACAGATTGCCACAGCGGTTTACTGGCAAAATAAAGTCGTGGAAAGCACATCAAACAAAGGGGAGGAAACGATTCGAGGAGGAGAAGAAGACTTTGGAGTCTTCCTCAGAAGCCCTCGAGTGAGCGCCGACTCCGGCCGGCGTCTCCCCGTAGGACGGAGAGGTGACTTTGGAAAGTGATCTGCAGACTGCTGGGCCGGTCTCAAGTGTGGTCACGGCGAGTTAACGGGCAAATGGATATACGCATCCTCATGAAAACCAACAAAGGGATATGTGGTGTATGTACATATTCAACTTTGTATGTTCAAGGGTGTTCTGCGGCGGAGTGAGCTCGTGCTTCAAGAATCAATCTTTATTAAAAAGGATAAGACTGAAGAATTGATTTAATGAATGCGGCCTCATGTCCTGCGGCCACATGTAATCCGCAGAGAATCATTGAGCATGAGCTCAGGGGGACAAAAAATGTTCGTAGAAGACTCATGGAGTGGCCTGTAATGATAGTCTCCATATAATCCCATAATTCCTTGTTTAATTAAACTCTGGAGCTGGCCTTGAGACTCCGCCAGCTCTGTTGCTCTTTTGTTCTCACAGTTGTTATTTGGAGGCTGGGTCTGAGTATTCTTTTGTCCACTTGTGTTGAGAGATTGGACCGGAGCGAGCTATAAACAGAGATCGCAGCTGTAAGACAATGAATGAGACTGAGGCGAGACGCTCAGGTGAGCACTATAGTTTTTATTTGAGCTGAATAGCAGAAGGGCCTCTGTCAGAAGCAGAAATCTCTTCATGCACCCTCTTCTTCAATATCTTCCTTTATTTTCCCTCTCCCACACTTTCTGGACTGTGCATGATGCAATCCAACAAGGCCTGGAGCAACACTGGCACATCAAGCCGCCTTGTCAATGTCTCAATGAGGAAATTATGAAAATATGAATTTTATGACATGAAATGAAAAGGGCCATGCAGTTTGAATAGACATGCAGAGGAGGTGAAAATGATGCAATTTTCTAAATTCAGTTATAATGGTAATGTGCAATGGTAATGCGTATTTGCTGTCAAAAATTTCCCTGTCGGCCTGGATTGTACAGCTTTGTGCTGTATCTATATTCCTCGAGCAAAAATTCAGCTTAGTTGAATGCCTAAAAAGTAATGTAAAATATGTTCTAATTCATTTAATGACAGCAGATGGAAACACACGGGGCTGAATGGCTTCGCTGTGATATTGTGTTCTATTTTATGCACTCTGGCGGTGCTGTGTGTGAGCGCTGTGCCCTGGGCCAGTGCACAGAAAGGCAGGGCGAGGAGCAGCAAGGTGGCCTGTGCAGATTAACCCCTCTCTCTACCCACCAGCACCCACTCCCCCTCAGCTCGCTGCCTCCACAGCCTCTGGGCCCCTCTCACAGGCAGGATTGGATATCAGGGCCTCTTCTATATTAAATAAATATCCACAGATTAAGATAATATTCTCCCAGTTGTGTACTGAGAGAGGAGTAGCTGTCATTTGAATCCTCTGTGATGCCAGTCCTCCCCTCTCCAGCAACAAAAGAGGCTTTTTTTTCCTCCTCCTTTTTTCCAAAATGCAGATAATGCTGTTAGGCTGAGTTTATAATCAGCCTCAGCTCATATTTGTTGCTATTTTCCACAAACAGCCGTCAGTAAATTCACACAAAACACTCCTTAACTCGTCTTTATTACGTGATCACACAGATGGCCCTTTGTCCTTCTCGCCTCACCTCAGGTAACCGCACAGACGACGGTTCAGACGTGGACTCGGAGCCCGACTTGCCGCTGAAGAGGAAGCAGAGGCGCAGCCGCACCACCTTCACCGCTGAGCAGCTGGAGGAGCTGGAGAAGGCTTTTGAGAGGACGCATTACCCCGACATCTACACCAGGGAGGAGCTGGCTCAGAGGACGAAGCTCACAGAGGCCAGAGTACAGGTGAGCCTCGGCACCAGGACATGAAAACACACACCTTCATAGAACGTGCTGCTCTTATCGGGATTATTTTAGATTAAATTATGTTATTTTTAATGCTGTAAACACCACAATTGGAATAAAAACTATGAGCATGGCTACTGATGACGAGCTGTAAAGGAGAATATTTAACACCAGTGTACATGTAATGTGGGTGAAATGATGCTTTAAATGCATGATGAATTAAAGCTCAGCTAGCCGTAGAGACTCCACCTGTCAGCAGCAGGAACTCCTTCACACTCTGCTGGCTTCACACTCACAGCAAACACCCCAGTTCCCCTGAACACACTGTGAAGAGCAACATCTTTCTCTGGAAACAACATTTTCTTCTTCTTCTTCTTCTTTCTTCTTTTATCCGTGGCAATGATGTATTCATCCATCAGGGCCATGTTGGCCTTTTTAATCATATTTCACTGTGAAGGCGAGGGGCTTTGCTGTCTGCTATTATCCTTCATGTTCGAGCGGTTTGACAGAGGTACTCCCCTTCTTCACACCTCCGATCCGGGAACCTGTCTGACAGCCCCAGCGTCCTACAGTTATATGTACAGTAGAGTTATAGCAGCAGCTGTTCCTCCAAAGACGGAGGGAGAGGGAAAAAAGAGGAGAAGAGAGAAAGGGAATGCATTCCTGATGGATTTCTCATTTCGGCCTTTGGCCAGGATCTCATCCCATCACTTTCAAGCTCGCCGCTGCTTGTAAAACCCTCCACATATCACACAGCGTTCTTCATCCTCTCCAGGGACCCTGTGCCCCCGACAACAACATTAATCAATCAGCCACTAGTAAAAAAAAAAAAAAAGAGAGAGAGTCTGGGGCACCCCTCTCCTCTTACCACAGCCATTCACACTGACTGTGAACCCCCCAAACTCCTCACCGCATGCTAACTGTTCATCACACTACAAACATGCAGCCTGGTAACTGATTCCACACATGTCTTTGTCCATCTTGAAACCCCCCAACATGCAAGGATGTCCTATACGTCCGAGTGTTTAATGCCTCACTCAGGGAGGAACGGAGAAATGGATCTCACGCTATTTAAGAGGCGATATATATTCATGTTTTGTGTTTGCTGGTTTTAGTGTCTAATAAGGAAATAAATGCAGACATGAGGCGGAAGAAGTGAGTCAGAGATGTGCTAACATTTTGATTATACTGATTTAGAAAGTACATTTTATTTAGTGTTTTGTAGAATGAGCTACAAACACTCGTAATATGATAAACACAGAATGGAACAAACCTCTCTTTCATTTAAAGATGCGACGGTGTCGTGGACTTTAAATTCATCAGTAACACCTCACGTTTAAAACAAACCGTTCCTGCTGCTGTTAGCACCTGTAGCTCCATGCAGTAGCATGCCAAGAATGTCAAAAACATAAGTGCAGGAGAAGAGACGGCAAACAGAGCGACTGCTGTCTCTCTGCTCTTAGATAATAGACTTAAATGATGTCATGTGAAAACCTGAAGAATGTCAGTCATGGCTGTAATTTGGTAATGCTGTTTTCCTCATAATCTAATTCTTGGAGGCTTTGAACGTCTCAAAAGGTCATCTCAAACCTAATTTTCTGAGAAGGTTACAAAGAAAGGAGCTTTGGTAGCCAAAATAAATAATGCCTAAAGTTGTGCTGCCGTTTGGTGAGGCTGTTTCAGGGAACTTCTACAAGTCTGACTCTGATAGTTTGTCTTTGCATCTCCGGTTCTTTTCAAATTTGTCAGCTGAGTCTGAATGAGTATTATAAACACAACAGAGACATTTCAAACTGCAGCCCCTGTGATGAACACTGAGATAATAAATGTGGATTTAATGCTGCAGGAGGTTCTTTAGTTCCCTAGTGTGTGCATGTGTGTGTTGTTTGTATCACAGAAAACGTCCACCAGCTGGGCTCCACATAGGTGCCCAAATGGCCCATCACAGGGCAGCAGAGAGGAGCCCTTTGGCCTGAGAGCAAAGCTTCTCCAGCACAGCTGCAATGACGCATCTTCCAGATGTCGTCCAGAGACCAACCGGTGTTCGGGGCTGAGAAAGAAGCTCCGGGCCGGGGGTGTTGGAGGGCTCCCACACGCTCATATTTTACCTCGAATCTGTGTCAGCTGTCATGGTTCGCTGCTGTCCATTTGTCATTAAACATGGCGATAATGTGGAAAGTAGTTTTGGGTTGGGTGCAGAGGTAAAGCGCCCTGGTGTTGGCGAGCACCTCCGCTAGCGTCGCTTCACTGGCGCTCGACGGTCAGAGCTCAAAGCCCGCGTTGTAAATTAAACTGCTAGGTTCTGGTGCGAGTGACGAGTGTTTGGCTTAGCGCTGACTCACAAGCTAAACTCATAAACAGAGCTAACTCCCCTGTGTGTGCCCTCGCCTGCCATTTTAAGAGCCTTTCACCATCTATCTTTATCAGGCCAGCTGCCCCTTTCAGCGCAGCCACCAGCGCTCCTTCAGCACCACGAGCCCGCAATGGTTTTATCACCCCAACTGACAAATTGTGGGATATGATCCATATCTCTCAGCAATTAGTTCCAGCCTGTCTCAGTAGGAGGGGATACTGCCAAGTGTACCTTCAGTATATCCTCGGCGGATGCAGTGTGCTCTGCCACTTTCCATCTGATAACCCCTCAGTCCTAACCGGAGCAGGCAGCAGAGCCGGTCCATGAGGCCGGCGTTCGTGTCCGCTCCCCTCTGAGGACCGGACCAGGTGGAGGTTGCTGTAAATCAGCTCCCGCAGAAGAAGCAAATTACATTCTCCTCTATTTAGACTGAAGTTTTTAAGAGACACTGACTCCTGAGTCCCGGCTGAGGCTCATCATCCCAGCACGCCGCCGCCAGCTCACTTTACCCAATCTGTCACATAGGTCCTCTTTCATGACCAATAAACATTCTGCATGTAGCTATTATAGTTATTGGAATCTAATAAGCTATAAGCATTGCTTTTTACGAAGCGTGCAAATCAATTTGGTGAAAAGTTTCTCTTGGTGCTGGTCTGTTGATGCGTCGGGGGGAGGCCTGTCTGGAGCTTTAGCTTTAGCTCAGCTGAACTCAAACTCATGCTAACGCTGCTGAGCAAGTTTTCAAAATAGCTAGTGAACGTGTAATCTGGTGGGGAGGTATTAGGAGGTAATACTCCGTTTTCCTGATTGTTATACTATCAGTGGAGTTACAGCAGCGAGACAGCGAATCACAAAGGAGCTGAGTGGTGGCAACCAAACCCAACAGGCAACTGTATTCCCGCCAGTACGGGTTTATTCCTCATAAAGGAATAAATAGGATTTGTGTAGATTGTAGGAGAGAAATTGTTGCAATGCATCGCTGTGAATGTTCTAACAGTTTCTTATTATTAGAATTTAAATGACTTTGGTACAGTGCTTCTGTACTCCTGATACTTATCAAGCTAATCCCACTCTCCTCACAAATTCACACTCCTAGCTACTTTAATTAGCATAGTGCCAGTCTGGAAGGCAAGCAGGGAGGGAATCAGAGGGGAAAGCAGAGGGGAAGGAGCGAGGAGGAGGAGGAGGTGCAGGAGGCGGGGGGAGGGGGTATTGCGTGGTATGAGACAGAAGAGGATTTGTATGTTGAAGCCGGTTGCATCACCCCTCTGTGTTTTTGTGGATATGAAGTCAGCAGCACATTTTGTTTTGTCATTATCTCGGCTCTTGGTATTCATCTAGCGAATGTTGCAAATTGGCTCCTGAAAGGCGTCACACATTCAGTACTTGTCTTTGACAAAATAATTCATGGAGGATTGTATAAATTCTGAAATATGAGTGATCCTATTTGAGCAGCAGCACAGGCAGGTTTTTACTGCAGTGCAGTGTCACGCCTTTACACTGCTGCTGAGTGCGTGTTGCCGCCGATCAGCGATAAGGAAACGCAAAATGCCACTTGATCGCTAGGAATCGATTCTGTTGGAGAGTGGATGGAAGATTAAAGGCGACGCACGCAGCTAAACGGGAAGTAAAATGGTGTCGCTGTTCCGAATTACTGCAGGTTCTGTTATCTGATTGCAGGTCTGAGGTTCTCCAGTCAGCGTTCACTCTCCTCCAACTTCTTCCTCCTTTGTTTCCCAGCAGGCCTAAGCCTGACTGGTACCAGGTGGTTTCTGCTCTCCCATCCCAGCAGCCTCTCAAAACTTCCTCCAGAATGATCCAGAGATGCAGCGCAGGCCCGTCCAAGTGTGCTCGATGCAGGGAAACCTTTTAGTCCGTGACAATGAGACAGAAGTGAGCCACAGGAATTCCAGTGCACACTTGTAGGTAGATAGGGAGACATGGAGCAGCGCTGCAGCTCTCTGTACTGCAGAGAATTAAACCGGATTGGTGGGAGCAGAGGAGAATCCGTGGTCCAAGGTGACTTTGTGATCAGGTTCCAGAGCGCAGCCTCAAATCCTCAGCTCCAGGCTGTGTGCTAGTCGCTGTGAGAGCCGATGTGTGCATGTATAAGACTGTGCGAGTAATGTATGCATGTGTGTGATAGCGGCGTGTGCATCTCCATCTGAGCACTTGTTTATCCCAGTCGGTGCTGAGAGCCCGCCGATTGTTGGAGAAGCCGCTCAGTCTGTGACACATGCTCCTCTCCTGTCCCACATAATGAAGTGGACGCTCTCACCGGCATCTGTGCATGTTAACAGCCCGGCTGCTAGTTTACGTAATTTCAGCACAATAATGTGGCAGCACGCCTGCTCACATTCTATTATTATATCGATGATTCCAGTTAATTATGATGAAGCTCCAGACTCTGCTCGGTGTGAGCTCCTCTGGCAGCTGGAGTGACTGTGATCACTTAGAAACCACATTTCTGTGTTTCTGATCTGCAACAGGAGGTGCACGATGAGAGAGAATATACCTAATAAAGTAATCAAAGAGGAAGACCGGGGACATTAGCTGTGTTTAGTATTTTTATGCACATTTTGAAGTATCGCGTTAGAAAAGTGAATTTAAAGAATAAACAAACAGAAAAGAGTTTATTTTCTCATTTGAGATAGTTTTTGACTTTTTAAAAAAAAAGAAACCAGGGAGACATAAACGCCTTTTCTGAATAAGTTCTGAGTGTTTAACTCACACCAGCTGTTCTGATCGCCTCTAGATAGAACCAGAACCAGCAAACATGAGAGAATCGCTGCAGCTCATTCACAGCAGTTCCTGGAGATGTTTCCCCTCATAGACGGCCACAGTCTTATTTCTTCTTATGAGGTTATTTGAACTGCTGGTTTTGCTTGTTTGCTCTGTTCATTACAGCCACATGATGTGCAATATCTACCAAGTCACACATTTAATACTGAATGCATGAATAAAATCTATTTTCTGATAACTTATGTCATCTGTTTTCCCTGTAATATCCTCTACATCTTCTTAACTTGTCAACTAAAGCACAATCAACCATGCGTGCCTCATTTGTTCAGGCCTTCACAGATCACAGCTCGTGTTGGGACTAGATTGTGGTCTTGGTCTAATATTTAGCTTGAAATATCCCACATGAACATTATCAATAAGTGGATGTGTAATTCATAAAGTGAAGGCAGTGAAAATGCAAAGTGGTGAGAGTGACTTGGCCGTCTGAGCGTTTTGTGTCTGCCGTGATGGAGCACCTCCTTCCTCGGCTTGGATGACAAAAGGGGGAAGGAAGTTAAAGTGAACATAAAAGAGGGGTGGGCTGAGTGGATGAGGTCGGAGGTGAAGTGGCACGGCGGGGTGGGGTGATCGGGAGTGTGTGGAGGGAAGGGGTGTGCCTCCGTGCCCCTCCCCTGGGCCAGGCAGCTGTTTGTCTGGCCCGGTTGGAGCTTAGTTCAGACCCCGGACCACGCTCCACTACATCCCAATAGCAGAAATTTCACTGGAGCCACACACCACATTTGTTTTGGAATAGCTGATTGAGGGATTCGGGCCGGCTCTTTAGAACCAATCGGGCCCCAGATAAAGATTTCCTGTTGGTTTTCCCGTTGCATAATTGAGGTTTGCCCTTTTCTTCAGCGCCGACACAGTCGCCGCCTGTTGCATCTTATTTTCTTCCTCTCGACTGAACCGAGCCATGGGCAGAACATCCAGCGGGTCTTTGCAGAGGCAGCGAATGTGTGGGAAAAGAATCGCATTCAAATTAAGATCTCCGTTGGGCTGAGATCCCTTGTAGGCCTATACGAGTTTATATGTATGTTTGTGTGTACAAAAAGAGGCAGCCCCCGAAAAGCAGCGAGTATGTCGCTGTGTAAGTCCCCTTGAAAGTGTCCCTCTTTAAGACCTGTTTAAAAGGGACGCCCCCTCTTTGTGTCCACTGTTCTCTGTGGCGTATGGAGGGGCTTTTGTCCCCCTCTTTCATGTGCTCTCACAATAGCCCTGGCCGTTTGAAACACAACAGTAGATGAACTGCGCTGACAGTGTATTAAACTCTGATGAATTGCCTGTGCGAGGCATAGATCAATGTCCTTCAACCCTTAGCACACAGTGGAGCCCGGGCCTTGTCTTGGTTAAATGGAACAGGTTGCTGGCTCTTTTCAAAAGGCCCTGATTATATTCATGTTTTGTTGAAGCAGAAGCCTTTTTAAAATGTGTAAATCTTTGCCGTTTCAAAAGGGAGTCCTATTTTTTCCCCTTTCATTCAGGGAATTGACATTGTGTGTCTGTGGTGCTGCTCATTTTGTGGCCATTTTGCTATTTGTAGCCTCAGAAGTCTGCGTCTCTAAAGTTAAAACGCTTTTTCCTCCTTTAAAATGACTTTTAAACGTTTAAACACAGCCCCATTAACAGAACCCACACAGCAGCAGTGATGGCCTCTCCTAAAGCCCGCCAGAGCTCTGCAAACATACTTGAGGTGTGCGATGCCGAGGCTAGTGGCCTACCTCTGACCTTTAAACGACTTCTTCCCTCTAAAGGGGGCTTATGGCGGCCTGTTTACACAGATCACAGCCTCAGCCACTTCAGAACAACAGGGACGACCACTGAGCTCCACAGGGACTGCAGACTCTCAGCTAGCAGCAGCAGCACCGCTCAGATTAATCACAGGTGGCAGCAGCCAGCCGGCTCCACTGAGGGTCCAGCACCATTCTAAGGATACAACAAAAACACATGCAGGAGCATCACATGAACCGCCCTGTGTGTTTTACAAAACTCTCATTTCTGTCCAAGGTGTGGTTCAGCAACAGACGGGCCCGGTGGCGTAAACAGGCCGGGGCCAATCAGCTCGCGGCCTTCAACCACCTACTTCCTGGAGGATTCCCACCCACAGGGATGCCGACTCTACCCACATACCAGCTACCGGAGTCCAGCTACCCCAGCACCACGCTATCGCAGGGTGAGAAACACGCAGCACAGAGCGCTGTGTTCTTTGGTGTTAATCACATTCGTCCTGTGTGTCTGTGGTATGCCGTTCAGATTATAACGGAAATATTGGCCATGAATCATGTGAACTTTACAAACTCGTCTCTGTCACAGAGGAGCAGCAACAAGCCGTGTGCTACGAGTAAAGTCCTTTATGTTACACCTAGTGTGTGACGTGTTCAGGCCACGTTGAGGATTCCTGTTTGCTATGTTTCAGTAGAACCTGTAGCTGGACTTTATTCTCACCTGTGCTCCGTTGTGTTTGTGTCAGAGGGCAGCAGCACGTTGCACAGACCCCAGCCCCTGCCTCCGTCCTCCATGCATCAGGGAGGTCTGAGTGCCGACAGCGGCTCTGCTTACGGCCTGTCGTCCAACCGCCACAGCTTCTCCAGCTACTCCGATACCTTCATGAGCCCCTCGGCATCCAGCAACCACATGAACCCCGTCGGCAACGGGCTCTCCCCACAGGTCAGTGCGACCGGCTTCACCTGGTTACGTCACATCCACATGCATGAATGTACCCTGATAGGTAGCGCTGCTCCGCCTGCCGCCTCCCCTCCTCCTCTGCCTGCTCAGAATGTGTAATTGTATTTGACTGAAATTAAAATTCAGAAACAGCATGTTCAGCAAAATAACCGCCAGTGTGGGCTTTTATGTTCGCCTTCCAAAGCCCTGGATTTATTTTAGCTACTCTAAATTGCTACATTTGTAAAACAATTGGATTAACATCAACAAATTAAAATTCATCTTGATAGTACCGCGAGTGCTCAAGCTGCTCCAAACAGCGGTTTTGACTTTCCTGGGACATCTAAATCCTGCGCGGCGCAGTGAGAACACATGCAGATGAAATAATTAGCTAAAGCTTATAAATGTAGACCCATAATCTTCTTCACGTAATTGTCTGCAGCTGGAAGACTCCAGAGCTATGTGTGATTTTGTTCATCTCTCTGCTGCGTGATTTCCAGGCAGCTCTGAGTGACGGAGCCTCTCTGGTGTTCTGTCGGGTTTCTCCTGCTGGTCACTGCGTCTGGGGCAAAGAGGAATATGACTGGGGCTGCTTAGGTCTCTGCATTGGTTAGTTCACGTTTAACTGAAAGGAGGATATGAAGAATCTGCTCATTATCCTCTCTGCCATCTGAATGCGTGGCGCTGTGAGAGCAGGTTTGTTTGCCTCCTTGTGTGGAAAGCGCAGGATTTCAGATGTTAACCTCTTTGGACACCTCCATTAATGAGCGTTTAAATGCGACTCTATGGTGAGGGTTGAGCTTTAAGTAGCACAGAATGAAAAATGATTTGTATTGATGCAAATCGTGTGTACGGAGTGAATTATACACAATTACCCATCAATACTGGCCAGTCTTGCCCACCCTCACCAACAAGATGTGGTTAACAGGCAGAAAATAAGATTGAAATGGTGTGTAAAGAGTTGAAAATGAATTTCAATGCTGCATTTGTCCACAATTACCCCGTCGTTCACACGTGTTTTATTGGGAGTTTTTTTTTTTTTTTTTTCTTCAAATATTTCTCAAAGCAGATTGGAAACATTCTTGGTATTACCCTCTTTCTTCAGAGAAGAAAGAATTAAGGATTTTGTGACAAAAAAGAGATTTTCTCTCCTGCTGGAGCGACGGAGGATAACATGGAGGCTCACAGCGTGTTTGATTGTTAATCGTGGCACAGGGGCTTTAACTGCTAATGCTCTCACTGCAAACCTGCAGAAAAACACCAGGAACATGGAGCCGCTTTTTTTTTTTTTTCATTAATGGCTCTCTCTAATACTGGCATGGGGTACACTGTCGCTTTCTCTCCCTCTCTTCACAGGCATTCAAGAATGTGTTGGGATATTAAACATTTCCTGTCATAGTGAGGATTAGGACAGGAGCCTTTGGGCAACTGTACAGCATTGGATTTCCAGTATTCAATTACTCTATCAAGTGGCTGTGATGGATGCCTTTTTAAAGACACCTCAAATTGCACTTTATTTGTGTTGTAAATATTTTCTTAAATGTAAACATTTTTAAGTTAAATTGTGGATGTTGTGCTCCCACATGGTGTGGATGTGGCGGCTGCTCAGTTGTTTGCGCTGCACTCCAGTGAAATGTCCTGAATGCATGCAGAATGCTGTGTGGCATTCCTATCAGTCTCTCAGCGTGGAGATGAATGTTCCCACTGACAGCAGAATCAGAGTTCACTCTCTGGTGCAGCACCCCGCTGTGCTGGGCAGCCCCCATCGCTCCCCCTCTCGCCGCACAAGCATGCAGCAGCCTCACAGGAACCAACAACACAATAAACACTCACGCTAACGTGTCCGAGCCAGACCCCGCTTTGTCTCTTCTTGCTTTTAGCCACATTTCAATCAAATCTGTCTCAGCTCAGGAAATTATCGACACATATTCTACATCTCGGTGTTTGTTTTTTTTGTTGTTGAGATTTTTTTCTGTTGCTTTCCGTCCCTGTAATGGAAAAAAAAGCGGCACAAAGAGACTATCTATCGAGATGGAAATGAGAATTTGATATTGTAAGTTACAGACAGCATCTGTTTGCGGGAGATATGCTTGTGCATTGGTATGTGCAAGCTATTTCTTGAAGTGTCTGGCATTGATGGCCTTGCGGTTGCTGTAAAGATTGACAAAAAATTCTCTGATTCGCAGTAAATGGGCTGCGGTGGCGAGGTGCCAAGTCTGTAATGGAATCCTGCAGCGTTCAGCAGTCCCGACAGGAGCTCGCGTCCATCCCAATCCCATAACCTATCCCGACAGCACACATTTTCCCATTACAGGCAGTGGAAAAGCCATCCGCACTCAGACCGGTCGCTGTCATTGTGGGATATACAACATGTTTGGCTGGTTGAGGGAGGCAGTGTATTAGGGCGCCAGAGAGTGAAGCTGTGCATGGCTGGGCAAAAGGTATGAAACCAGAAGTGTGTTTTGTTGTTGGTCTTGTTTCATTTAGCGGCACAGCAGGTGTTGGAAAGAGGGAAAGGCAAGGGCACGGAGGACAGCCAGTCCAGCGCTGCTCACCTGAACATTTATCTGTTCATTCTGGCCTTTTTTATTTCCACTGACCTTTCAGATAACCGGCCGAATACTTCACATGCAAATTTTGCAGAATAGAGAAACAAAACTGGCTTTGGACGGACAGTTTTCCTTTAAAGAAGTCATGCCTTTACAGTCACCAGCCCATAATCTCCAGAGCATACATACATTTTGTGACTAACACGAGGCCGTGAGGAGGCTTTTAGATGCTCCTCCAATGAAGCGTCTTTGAAGCAGTTTTGTGTGGAAACATTTGGACTGAATTCCTCATTATTGCATGACAGGGACACCTGCTGGGAGAGGAAAGAAAACAACTGCTCTGAGTGGAGAGCTGCAGTAACAGGAGCTCAGCGGCACAACTTGGGTTTCACTGCTCGGAGAAACTTCTCCAGATACTGTCGTCAGGGGAATAGAAAACGAGCAGAAAGCGTTTGTGGAGGCGTTCAGGTATCTCCTGTGATAAAGACACGTGATAGGGCGAGTGAGAGGTCTGAAAGGTGCGGCGGTGGAGATCTTATTGCTGTTTTGATGAAGGAAGTTCTCAAAGTTTTGTGAGGAACTTTTTTCTCTTTTTTTCTGTTTTGCAGTTTTATGAAAGTGTTGTGTGTTTTGGAATGACAAGGATGTGTGTGTATGTGTGTGTGTGTGTGTGTGTATCTGAGGAGGGCCTTTGGGCTGTGTGAGTGGGCCGGGCCTCCACACACACACACACACACACACACACGTACACGGGATCAGAGGCAGAGCGGCGCTCACCCCTGCCTCCCTTTGATCTGTGTCCCCAGGCCTGCCTGCCCGCGCCGCGCTGCACCGTACCACGCACGCTGACACCATGCTCACCAGCGACTCCCCACAACTGTCTGAGAGAGATAAGCCAGGGGAGACTCCAAACTGTGCTGCTGCTCTTCCATTAGCTAGCGCAGACGCTTCTTTTAAAAATGGGATGAATTATTTTTAAGAAGCAAGCTCTGCCGTTGCCAAAAAAAAAAAAAAAAAAAATGGAGAGGGGAAAATGTACGGAACAATCTGGAGCTCTGGCTTCATTCCGCCTCCCTCCCTGACTTCTAACAAGACATTCTGCACCTGAATACCAATGAGAGGGGGAGATTCATGTAGTCCCCCACATTATTAAAACTTGGGCATTAAGCCTCTCACCGGGCACTGTGTCAGCTGGCAGGCTCCACTGACAACAAATCAAAGGGGATGAGCACATAGCCTGCATTCATAGCTCAGCCACTCGCAGAGCAAGTGGGGGAATACATACTGGTTAATTAGAACTCCCATTAAAACAAATACTGTTTCAATTTGGCAAGTATAAAAAAAGATGTAAGAGGCTTTCAGAAAAAAGAGACCTGCTGTTGGCAGTTGCCAAGAAAATCCAGGGACTGTAAATCATATCCACTGGCTATACTGTTTCTGCTCAGATTATTAGTGTTTGCTGTTGTTTTGCAACACTTTTGAACTCTGAGGAAAGATTTTCCGTCTGTGACACCAGAGATGCACCTTCGCGTCGCCGCCTCGGCCGCCTGCCCGCCTAACAGCACGTCGGTGTGTTTTTGCTGCTTGTTCAGCCACAGCTGACTATGACATAACTAATAATTTTCTTTTGAAGCCTAATGAAGAAATAACGGCTGCCACTTATTCAGCACGCCTCGGCTGCAGCTCCTCACGCGTCGCCGTGCTGCGGCTCTCTGGATACCTGAGCCATTTGTTGCTCGCTCCGTCTTTTAAGCCTCTCGAGCACCCGAGTGCAGCCATTTTATTTCTCATTCCAAAATATTTTTGGTTGGAGCTCGGTGTATTCATAATCTATTTTTCACCTACCAACCTTCCATCCCTCCATTTGGCTTTTTGTCATCCAGCGATGCCTTGCCAATAGTGCTTTGCTCTGTCTCTCTCTCCCTCTCTCTCCCTCTCTCCCCACCTTCCTCTCTTGCTCCAACTCTCTCCCCTGGAGAGGCAGCTCTTCTCCCTACGCCCAGATGAAAGGCTATGGCGGACAATAAAAATGCTATTTAAATGCAAGGGTGTTTGTGTGCGGGTGAGAGATATTTCCTGCTGAAAGTGAGCTGCTGCATCCTGATAAATAGTAAATATAAGGGAATGTGATTTACATTTATCTTGCAGAGGCAGCCAATATGAATTTCAGTAAATCCTAGAAGATGGGGATTTAAGGAGGAAAATGACTGCGACTGATTCACATGCTGTGTGTCCCACGCAGTTGAAATGCCTATAAGGTGGAGAGTGGTGCTGCCTTTATTAAAGTATAGGCACAGACATCGATCCTATCTAAAATACCCATTACAGAGTCACATGCTCATCTGCACAGATTTCCTGCCTCATACACTCACAATTTGAAGGTGACTTGTGCTGTAACAACAATACCAATAATAGTGAGATGCAGTGGCAGGAGGTGGACAGGTGAAGCGTCTG